AAAAAAAAAAAAGAAGAAGAAAAAGCAGCTCTGACTTGCCCTGAGAACTCCACCTCTCAGAGCCTCAGTTGCCCAAGTCTATAAAATAGGACCAAATGTATCCATCTCCTGGATGAGGAGAGGATTAAATAACACAGGGACTGAGGGCCAGGAAGCATAGAGGCACCTTTAAAAAAATTAATTCCTTTGGTAGGTTGAGTGGGGAGGATTGCTTGTTGAGCCCAGGAGTTTGAGGCCAGCCTGGGCAACATGGTGAAACCCGTCTCTACAAAAGATGGGCAAGGTGGCACCTGCCTGTAGTACTGGCTACTCAGGAGCCTGAGATGGGAGGATCACTTAAGCCCAGGATGTGAAGGTTGCAATGAGCTGAGATCATGCCACTGTGCTCCAGCCTGGGTGACATAATGAGTCTCTCTCTGTCTCTCTCTCTCTCTCTCTCTCACACACACACACACACACACACACACACACACCCCTATTATATTGACTAGTGGATCTGATTAAAAATAAACTGGGAAAAGTAGCTTATTTTTGTTTAAAAACTTGAACGTGATGAGAAATAGTTCTCCCTCTCATTCCCCAATCCTCCATTCCTGCTTTTTCTCACTAGAACACTGTAATCAGTTTCTTGTGTATCCTCCCAGATGTCTATCTGACCCATGCCTAAGCCACTTTCAACACATAGAACATGCCATATCTATGAGTCTACAGCGTGTGTGTTTGCCAAAGAGTATGCCTTGGGGACGGTTGTGTGGAAATACTCAAGATGTCTAGCACATGACTTTTCGGCGGTGCTGGCTAAGTATTCCCTTCTATGCATATGCTGTGCACAAACGTGATTTCCTAATCCCCTACTGATGGGCACTCAGGTTGCTTTGAATTTGCTGCAATGATATTTTTGAAACATTGAAAATTATTCAATAAAACGCACATTCTGAACAATACAAAAAGAAAACAGAACTGGGATAATTATTTTGATTTACCACTGAGTGAACACTCAGGCATCCCCAGCCATAAAACAACGTGGTCACACCAGGGCACCCCTCCCGTCTCCTCCCTGTCTCAGTCAGTCCTCCATCTACCTTAAGAAGAAAACTTTTTTCTTTTTTTTTGAGATGGAGTCTCGCTCTGTCACTCAGGCTGGAGTGCAGTGGTGCAATCTCAGCTCACTGCAACCTCTGCCTCCTGGATTCAAGAGATTCTTCTGTCTCAGCCTCCTGAGT